TCTTCAATATGTTTTTGTAAATAATCACTAATATCTTCCACTTCATATAATCCCTCAGGTAATGTAACCATCTTATTACCATCATAATAAAAATTTTTATTCAAAATGTCAACGTTTGGAATCGAATTATAACTAACGAAATTTACTAGACCCATAACGTAGGTATCTTGATCATTTAAAATAATCAGTGGGTATAATTTATTGCTTAGAATTGAGGATCTTTGATGAAATGTGAACGTGTATGACATTTTTTAACAATAAATGTTAAATGCTAAAGAATGACAATTGCTTATTCTATTTATACAATTTATTTAATAAAAACTTTATACATAGGTGACCACAATTATAAGATGGTTTCTGTAATGTTTGATAATTTATATAATTGTAGAAGATTTGTACATTTCCATTTGATTTAAAGTAGTTTTTGACTTCTCTCGGTGGTCGAAGATTACCATACGAATCAAAGTAGACAATTTGATTTCCTCTTTTTTTATATGCAACCCAATGAGTTCCAGGACCAATAGCATTATCCAAATTAATCACACCATTTTCATATTTTTTTCTTATTTTACGAGGGAGTTGATCTTTCATAAAAACACCACGAAAATGTGGTATTTGAAATTTTTTTACATAATTTTTTATATCTATATCTGTAAGAGGTGCTCTTTTCATTGTGTTTTTCTTGTATACCGTTGTTGTGCTTCTCGTGGATGCAAATAAAGTCCTAATCCTCTTTTATATGGTTTTAAGTAGGCACCCTTTCCTATTGCTATAGCTTCCATTGTTTTATTATGCCGTTGTGATTCTACTAAATCCCGTTTCGCTTGTTTAGCTTGATTGATAGCCTGAGCAATTTTTGCTGCACCACCACCAAGTGCTCCTAGTGCACTTAAACCGGCAAAAATCGGTATAAGTGGTAAAATACCACCGCTCTTGGGAATCGGTATTATCCTTTTTTTTTTCCAATCTGTTTTCATTTTTGATTTAAATTTCCTACTCGCTTTACTAGCAATCCGTACAGCAGTATTAACATCTTTTGGTTGCTCTCGAATAATACGTTTCTTTATTGTATTAATCACCTTACCCAATTGATTAAGGGTTTTCTTTTTAGATTTACAACATTGTTTTTTTTTTCATCTTAGAAACCATCCACTCACTAATAAGGATGAAATAAGACTATTGTAATTTAAAAATATAACTATTGCTTTATTCTTTTTATATTATCATCATCATCATCATCATCATCATCCTCTTTAAATTTACGTTTAAAGTTTGTTTTAGTTCTTTTTGTATAATGTATACTATCATCCGATTCATCTCGTAAACGCTTTACATTAGATTTAACTGTTTCATTATTATTTGATAGTTTAATTTTTTTCTTCTCATCAATATCTTCACTTTCATTATCACTTCTTTTTCGTTTAAAGTTACTTAATGTAGTATCTACATCCATATCTTCTATCTCCCTTTGTTTTTGTTTATTTAATATTTGTAACATTGCTGGAGTTAAAATTTCGTTTGTCATAAGTGTTTTCTCTTTCTTATTGCTACCAATTTTTCGTTTTCTAACTTTTGGTTTTGGATGAGGAGGATGAGGTTTCATAACATTACGCAAACTATTTTCTATACTATTCTGAACTTCTTCTACAACTTTGCTTATTTCTCGTGACGTCTTTTCAAGTCTTTATCCAATGTATAGGCTATATCGTGTTCTTTACAAGCTTCATCTAATTTATTTACACCTGAATCACCTCTTCCTAATCGCTTTTCAAGTTTTGTTCCAGGTCCACAATAATTATAACCAGGTATATGTAGTTCAAACGGTAAAGCATTAATAACACTATTTACCAATCCGCTTCCTAAATATACCTTCATTACACTTCACAGGTCAATTGTAGATTAATAAATAAAAGGTTAAACGTTTATTTCGTTATTTTATATTCGTGCACAATGAAAGTAGTACCACAAAAAGTTTCTTTGAATGTTGAAAATCATGATCGTGACGCGGGTGAAATTAAAAACAAGAACAAACATGGAATCCTTTTACCATCAACTATACGATCAATGATCATTGGTCCATCAAATTGTGGAAAAACAAACACGTTAATTACACTAATTGAACATAAGAATGGTTTAAAATTTGAAAACATTTATTTATACTCGAGATCGGCTTATCAACCAAAATATGTCTATTTAGAACGACTATTAAAACCAATAAAAGGAATAACATTCAATTCATTTACTACTAATGAAAACATTTTACATCCCAACGAGGCATTACCTAATTCGATAATGATTTTTGATGATGTTTCTTGCGATAATCAAAATATTATGCGAGAATACTTTAGTATGGGTCGTCATAACCATATCGATTGTTTTTACTTATCGCAAACGTACGCTAAAGTACCGAAGCATTTAATAAGAGATAACACAAATTTTATTGTCTTATTTAAACAGGATGATCTAAATTTAAGACACGTTTACAGCGATCATGTAGGTGCCGATATGGTGTTTGACAAATTTAAAGATATGTGCAATTTATGTTGGCAAGATGCATTTCAATTTTTATCGATTTTTAAGGATTGTCCCTTAAACGGTGGGAGGTATCGAAAGGGATTCGATAACTTTATATTACCAGGTTGATCAAAAATAATTTCATTATTACTCCAAACGCCATTGTATTTAGAAACGAACTATTATGAAAGAGAAACAAATTACAAGAAAACTATTTGNTATTCAAACTATGAGACTCTATATAATTCTAGCAGTATCTTATATCAAACCTGTAAAAACAATATGGAAAGGTGTTGTGGACAATGTGAACCAATATTAAATGATATTTGCAACAATGAAATTAAATTATTTGAGTGGAAAATTTGCAAATTCAACAACAAGAATGACTATGGAAATATTAATAAATAATACGGTAATTTTAACAGCACGCAACAAAGAATTAAATGAAATATTAACAAAAACTCAAGAAAGATTAATACCTGCATACGAAATAATTAATTCAGAAGAAAAAATAATTGATCGATTAAACAAAGAAGTAGAACAAATGAGATTTAATGATATAATTAAAAATGATAATGAAAGTTATAAAGAAAAATTAAAAGTATGTCGTACTGAAATTTTACAACGAAATGGTGATCGTTTGAAAATGATGCATAATGTAAATAATTTTATTACATCATTAGTATTACGAGAAGAAAAATAATCAATAAAAAAAAGGGATCTTATACCACCACACTTCTAACAACAGTATAAATAGGAAAATATCTTTTCAATTCAATATTATTTCAACATAAACATGGCCACTATTTGATGTAATTTATGTGAAAAACATTTCAGCTTTTGTAAGACATCAATAGAAAACCATAAAAAACAAGATGAACGTGAAAGAAAAATTGAAGAAATAAGGAAGAAAAGAAAACCTAAAACAAGTTCAACTGATATTATGTGTTATGAAACTTTAAATGAGTCCTTTGTAAAATAAAAAATAAAAATTGTTTTTTAAAAATTTTTGGTTTTGTAACATAAAAAAACCTTTTCAACGATAACTGTTTTTTATTGATTTTAACATTCGTATGTACCTAAATACAAATCACAATACAAGGACAATGAGCAGTAAAGCTTTTTTCATTGAAGTAATGAGTAGTAAGTTTTTTTTTTTTTTGTTTTTCATTAAAGTAATTGATTCTCTACATAACCTCTTCTTCTTCCTCTTTTAGAACAAGAGGATGATGTAACTTGGGATACTGGGAATGTTATACCATTCCAAGTACCCCAGGTGTGTTGGTGGTGTCTGGAAGCTGGACATTGGCAAAAACATTGTCCAGCACCGAAAATAAAATGTTGTTCCAAGTGCTGGACACTTCGAACAACTACAAAAAAACTGCATGAATTGTAAGAGCTGGCGGTCAGCTATTAATTATATGAAGTGTAGAAGCTGGCGGCCGGCAAAGTATATATAGTACGTTAAAGAATATGATGTGGAAAGAATTCAGTTACAGAGGAAATTATAAATGGATTGATATTTTAGATGACATTGTAAATAAGTATAACAACACAAAACAATCGGAATGAAGCCAATTGAAGTTACGCAAAAGCATGAAAAAAAATTACTTTCCACATTATTTAATAATATTAAAATTAGCAATTTTCTTAAACGTAAATTCAATGTAGGTGATCATGTAAGAATATCTAAATCTCAAGCAATTTTCGATAAACAATATACTCCTAATTGGTCTACTGAAGCCGGTCTCCCCTACTTTATTTTTAATAATTTTTCGCATTGTACAAATTATACTGTTTAATAATTTTATCCAATGTACAAACTGTCTCTTGGTTTTAATTATTGTACTAACACGTTTAATTTTAGATACTAAATCGTTAGAAAGTTGATCCGTCATGAGGAGATAAATCTGGAAATAACAGAAAAATTGAAAGCGAATACATCTGCAAAACATCGATAACTAAATGATTTTTATTAAGATAATCCACATTTATGCTTAATTAGCAAATTATTCAACATATAAATGTCTACACCACCATGTACTTTACTGGTTAGCAGTACTGACATGATGAATGTGCCAATAAAAACATTACATGTGGTGTGCAAACCTGTTCTACCGGTAAGTTTCTTTTTCTTTTTTTCCGTTTATTAATAATTCTGAATGAGGTATGGTGTAAAAAGTATTACAACGAAGGGGAATTGTGTGATAATTACACTATTGTATACCCCGAAAAATGATACACTGAAGAGAAAGTTTGGAAACCTTCCAGTCCAACATACGAGGCTGGGGGTTGAAAACGGAACAGAGGTGCAGATGTTGGCATCCGTAATGCATAAGTATGTATTTGACTTAAGTGTCGATGAGGATGGCTAATTTCCCCAAATTGAAAGTCAACAACAACTACAGCAATGATGATGTAGAAGAGGACGAAATTGTTGCTAAAAAGATAAAAATTGTACACCTTCAGTTGGACTTTGACGCTATTCCTAAAAATCTAAAGAGACAACCACCACCACCATCGCAAAAAGGAATGGCTACAATTAATTTGAGTGATAATAATCAAGAAGAAGAAGGTATTATGGTATTTAGCATCAAAATGAATACACCTCCTTGTACTTTATTGGATGTGTGTTGACTCCATAAATCTACCAACGAAAACTCTATACGTGGTATGTAAACACCTATTTTCCCGTTAAGTTTCTTTTCCTTTATTAATAATAATTCTGAATTAGATACGGTTTGAAAAGTATAAATCTAAACGGAAATTGCATAATCATAAGCTTGTTGTATACACCAAAAAACGAGACTTTAAAAAGAAAATATGGCAACCTCCCAATGCAGTACACCCGGCTTGGGGTTGAGAATAAAACGGAGGTGCAGATGCTGGAAACAGTGATGCACAAATATTCCTTCGATCTAAGTGAGGAGGATGGCCAAGCATTGCAAAAAAATTGAGCCAGGAAAAGAAGATAAAATTATGAGTAAGAAGGAAAAATTCATGCCGTGTCCAGAACTTCGAAGCAGCGCGTAAAAATTTAATTACATCTTTGTATTTAATTTGCTGTGTTTGCAAGTGAAAAACAAAATGCAACCTTTCAATTTTCTAAAGAATCGTTGAAATTTTTGTTGGTAACATATCATAAATTTCTCAAGCCTGGCGATTTTATCAATATAAACGAAGTTACCAATAAAGTTGATAAAAACAATAATAAGAATACCACCCTATTAACTTGCGGTAGTATTTTGACCGAATATTACAAAGATATGAAGAAAGTTATATCGAATTTACAACATACCGAACAGTTCGATATTGAAGCTTTAAAATTAATTGTAAACTATAAATTGATTTGCCGAGTTTACTTTATACAATAAAGAACAACATTAAAATTCCCAACGTTGATATGTTAAAGATGACAATAAAATGGAAAAATATGTAATTATACTGATAACAAATTTTAAACGTGCTACCATCTTGATTACCAGTTTTGTTGTACGATAATTTGAATTTTACCGTACCGACAAATAATATCTAGAAAGATTTCAGTATGACAGTTTTACAAAATTCCAAATTGAAATATGGCTTTAGATATTAATGTAAAGTACTCGATATAATTTCAAGTGTCTATGAAAATGCGTTATATGCCACAAACTCAATTGTCAGAATCTTATCATGAACGCATTTCTACGCGATAGGCTATATTTATACTCCATTAAAACAGCTGCCGACTTGTTGCCCGTTGAAATGCTTAAAGAATTTTGTGAAACTGCGGAAGTCGAATATCAGAAAATACTTGGTTACAGTATACGATTTTCATTTTGAAAATATACGATCCTTTGAAATCCTACTTTCTATCACAGGATAAATGTCCTAGAATTTTAGAACAGTTTTTTGAAAAAGAATCTTCAAAAATTTGGCTAGAGTTTCTACACAATCAAGCAGTTCTTTTTCAAAATGATATTGATCATTTTCGTTGGGTTAAATTAAAACAAGAACTTAATTGGAATGATGTGCAAAAATCATTCGATCACATTTCTCAAAATTTATGATATAATATAAATTATAAATTTATACATATAAACTGACTTTATATGTAGACACAGAACGTTCAACGTCTTTTTAACTTGCAACTTCATTTTATTTTATTTAAGTTCTTTAAATAACAACTGTTATAATGAACTTTGATTATAGTTAAAAATATAATGAGGAGAAAATGACAAACAAAGATAAATTATCAGAAATTAACGAATTTGTTATTACCAAGCCAGAAGCGCAATAGATAATAATGCGTCTTTACATGATGGCGACTGTTGAAAGCTTGGGTGCAACACTTAATTATAAAGCAAACAGGTTGGTGAGCAGAAAAACAACAAAATGCAAGAAATAACAAAGAGCTTGAACTTTAATGGTGTTTCAATTTATTTTTTCGACCTGTTTTGTTTGACTTGGAACCATAAAGAAGTAATCTTAATTTTCGACAAAGTTGTAAAAAACCAACCTTTGTATTTTATAAGCAAGATCGGCTCATATCTTGTAATCATAATGGTGAAATACGTCATATTCTGAAATATATCTTGAAAAAACCTCATCTTAACCTTATTGGCCAAGATGAGTCCTTTTCAAAACAATTATTATGGACATTGAGCATCATGACTTACACATGATAGCATCATGATATTCTTGAAAATTCAAAACATTGCGTGAAACTTATATTATTAATATTTAGGTTCTTGGTTATAATTTTAAAAATGATAGTTATACAGAAGTGTGAACGACTCATAATAATTGTGTGAAGAGTTGCATGATATCCAGTACACAGAAAAATAAGCAGAGTTATAAGAAAGAGTTACATTTTGGGAATCTTAATAAAACAAATGATCAGAAACGCAGATCCCAAAATGTACAAGTTGCACGTACACATGTGTTCCACAAAGAATTATTCAAACTCTCTTGCAATTATTCTTGGTAGAACACTTGTGTACCTATCGATAGCACAGCCATAAAAGACTGGTTCCTAACTACACATCACAAATATGAAATCATTGAGATATCTCTGCAGCATATTGTGGAAATAATACACAAATTTATGTGGTCTGATAATAACCCACATGTGACAGTGGAAAGTCACGTTCAGCATCAATTTTCATTTTTCGTAATTAGATAGACCAGAAGGAAGTTCTATTGAATTTCCGACAAAATATTTACTATTAATGTAATGGCCCCATTGTAGTTGCACAACGATTGACCATCTGAAATCCATGCAATTCGCACACAAGCTGAAACAAAAAGAAAAACGTTAATTAATTAATTAATAAGTATTGTAATTCATTAATTTATATCCTATATCTATTCAATACTTCATAATTATTAGGCAAAATAATTATTGTGAATGCTTCCACATGGTGCACAATAGTAGAAAATTATAATCGGTTATTCATTTATGTTAAAACTTTTTAGCAGTTTCATTATTAATGTAAATTTAAATCGAACTCGAGGTTGGGTAAAACTTGGGTAATTTTGGAACCAAAGAACAAGAAATCATAGAAGAAAACACGATTATGGAGAAAAATTTATTACCCAACTCATCAGAAGTGACAACGGTGATTTGTTACAGATGTATTTGTTGCAATTTGAATACTTAAAAGTGTTTTTTGAATTCAATATATTGCTGATATGTATATTTAGTATTTAAAGTAAACCTATAAAGATGCATGGAAAATATGAAATTATCCTGAAAGCTACAGATTATTAGTACTTTCAGGGTTACCTTTTCAATTGTTTACAAATACAAAATTATATATTTATTGTGGAAGAATATAATTAGGAAAAGGTGCGAGGAAATTCTAACAAAGAAATTGGATGAAAATTAACTTAAATGGAGATGGGCGACATTGAACATAAATGGAATCATTTCAAGAAAGTTATAATAACCATGGAAGAGTTGGAAATGGTAATAAAAGAATAAAAAATAGGAAAATCTCCTATAGCTAGATTATAGAAGGAGCATTAGGGAATTACATGCCTATTATAGCTAGAGGCAAAAAAGTACTAAATGAAAGTTTAAATATAAATAAATGGAATGAGAGTACAAAGGATTTTGTAATGAAGATGAGCATGTCGAAAACTAAAGTTATGGTGATAAGTAGTAACAGAAGATTGAAAATAGTGATTGAAGAAATCAAACCAAAAGTTTAATATGTTAATATTGAAATTTTTTTGTATTCCCAGCATCCTTATTATGGAAATCAAGCTTACTTGCCATTAATAACATTTAAAAAAAGTCATAGTTAAAATCCTTGCCAAAAAAAAGGAGATATCCCAAAATTCATCTCTACTAAAAAGCTGTACTTATTAAGAGGTAAGCTTTAATATCTCATTAATAATATCATAATATCTCCTATCTCACAAATTTGTAATACACATAGTTTAATTGAACACTTTGTAATATACTAATGTTATAAAAAAAATGACTAGTTGAGAAGATTTCCCCTATCGAAAGGACTAAGTGAAAGCTTAAATTTAATAGTTACTTATTAAAACTCCTTCATACATTTTCTTTTAAGATTATTTCGAAACGATTAAATGTTTGTATATACATTTCATTATAGGATGTTTCATTAAAAATGTTTTCAATAGAATAAAAATAAGTTTGAAGTTTAAAAGTTGTTTTGATTTAATTTGATTTTAAATAAAATAAATTCTTTTTAAAAACCTTAACCGCTCGACACGATTTGAAACTGGCGCAGTCAATTGGATTACTTGCACTAATTTGCTAATTTGATTGGAACTTAATGGTGACTTAAAAAGACGTTAAGGTATAGTGAAAGAAAAAGGGATCCACGGTGGAAGGTAAAATTCCTGAAATCAAAGAACAAAAGGGTCGGATCAATATTACCATACGCAACACACTCCCAGTCCAGAGGACAGAATTTCTCAGCGACCACAACAAAGAAGAACCAAGACGAAAAACCGAAAACGACTTAGAAATTAAGAACACAGCTTTCTACGCCCGCAACTGACGACAACAACATCAACTTTATGGTGCCCATATTCTTACTCATAGTCCTGTAAGTGATTTCTTTTATATTTTTGTAAAACTGATATTTTCAAAATTGACGAATTATTGGCAAATTTCAAAAATTTTTAAATAAGAAATGGCAAACGCAAATCCAGTTCAACCTGTTATGAACATAAATAGAGTAGATCATACAACAACTGTTGAGGTTAATATTATTCCAAAATTTTCTGGTAATCCTGTGTCTTTACCGCTTTTTATTGAAGCATCAGAAAGTTTAATAAACAGACAAGCAAATAGGGTTAATGAAGATGATCCAATTAATTTTTATATATTACAAATTATAAAATCTCGTTTTGAAGGAGCGCAAGACTTAATTGCATCAGGGGAATTGAATACATGGTGTTTGTCCTGCATTTAATTTTCTTATTTTCACCCCACGTCTGAGTTATGTGCGCATGTGCGCCGGCTCAAGCTGGAGTTTTCAAGTTTAAAATACACACACACACTGACTTCTCAATCACACTTTCGATAGCACGTGTCAATCGTTCAAAACAACCACGTTCTGCAATCACGTCCACCCACGCTTACACTTATATTAAATCAAAAGTAATTATAATTTCAATTTCATTTATTAAATTTAGTCAGTTGCGATTTTTTTGTTTTATTATTTGTCTTCATTATCATTTTGTTTCAGTTAAAGAACCAACACCTAATTTTTTTGTTTCCCGGTTATTTGCCGCGCGAACACATGGGTTGACATAAAATCATGCCTTGAATTAGCTTGTAGTGACCAACGATCAGAAGATTGTTTGCTAACTGACTTAATAAATATTTTGCCTACTACAAACGAAAATCCGTATTCTTTGGGTAATAGAATTAGAAATGTTTTAAATCTCTTGCTGACAAAAGTTAAGTTAATTGTACATCAACTTGCTGATAGACAATTAAAAATCAGCATGTATAAAAAAACTGCATTACAGACGTATATGCATGCGTTCATTGATTCAAATTATGGAGAATATATTTATTTAAAATATCCAGCAGATTTGGAAACTGCTATGCAAAATATTTTAGAAAAACAAAATTGGCAATATTATTGTAAGCGATTATCAAAAATATTTAATTTAATTCACCAAAGCAAAATTTATTAATTCCGGGAAAAGATTTAAATTTACCTCAAAATTCACGAAACAGAACAAATCCTTTATCCTAATACTCACAACAGTTCAATAGGAATCCTTCAGTTCGACCACAATTTAATATGCAACCCATAACTTTTGCACAACCTAATTTCAATCAAAATCAATTTAATTTTCCAAGACCTCAATTTAATCAACCAAATTATATGCAAAAATATCCATATCAAAAGCCAAATTCTAAACAAAATATGAAACCATTTGTACAACAAAAGCCTATATAATAGATTAAATAAATCTAAAATAAACAACATTGTAGGTGGAAATCTATTTTATGTCGTCGATACGTCGACCAATAAGTCGATCCTTATTTCCAAACACCATCAAATGAAAATTTTAATTCAACGCAAGAAGAAATTACAGATGAAGAAACTCATAATTCTTGTCCTGAAATTTCTGAAGTAGGCTCTGAAACTAATTTTCCTATAACAGCCTCACCACATCAGAATCGTAGTAGAAGTAAATTTTCAAAACTTTTCAAAATTACCTTACATCATGTTACCAGAATTAGATAATGCCAAAATTTTAATCGAGACTGGTGCAACACATTTGGCTATATCTTCAAAATTGGCAAAAAATTATTTTCAAGAGTATTTTTATTATGAATCATATGTAGTAAAAACTATGCATAGATTAACAAAACATTATTATAAGTTGAATTTACCTAGCTTCAAAACTTTTAATGACTATGAAAACAGTTATTGTTTCAATATAATAGATTTTTTTGAAAAATTTGATGGAATCCTAGATAGCGTTCATTTAGAAATGATGGGAGCTAAATTGGATTATCAATGAAAATCATTACAAATTAAAAATTCAAATATACCATTTTATTTTAATAAAACTATAATTAATTTACCACAACGAACAAGACAAATTGTTAAAATACCTGCAACTAATAAGGAAGGACAGTTTTTAATAAACCATTGCGAAATAATAAAGAACATAGAAATACCTAACGCAGCAGTAAGTGTTATAACTACGAATGCTTAGTAGAAATAACAAACTTCAACGAATATCCTATACAACTAAATTGTAATCCTGTGGAACTTGAAGAAATTGACTTAAAACNCGAAATCCACCTGAAATTAGACAAATAATTACTGTAACACCTACAAAACCGATGCAAGTTTTGCATATAGATTCATTTTCAACAGAAAGAACATTGTTTTTAATGGTAATTGATAAATTTTATAAATTAGAGAAGCCTATGAACCCAACGATAAAAACGCCATAACTATTGTTGATAAATTAACTGAACATTTTAGCAAATTCGGAATACCAAGCGAAATCGTATGTGATCAAGGAAGTGAATTTAACAATTATTTAGTTAGAGATCAATTAAAATTATATAAAATAAATGTACATTATACTACAGTAGGTCATGAATAAAAAAAAATTCAAATTCACCTATTGAAAGATTTATTTTAATGCTTATAGAACATTTACGACTTATAAAATTAATGGATAAAAATCTTTTTCTACGCATTGCAATGAATAGAGCAATTTTGGCATACAGTTCAACAATTCACTTATCAACCTTTCAACTTACATTTTGGACATTTGGACAATTTAGATCCAATCAACATCGATTATGAGCATAGAGCTTCACAAGATTATGTCAATAAACAAAAGCAGGTTACTCAATTAGTTTACGAGAAGATAAATGAAAAGGAAAAAGCAAGAAAAACTAATGTAAATGAGAAAGTAAACAAGAATATACCTGAATCTCAATTTACAGTAGGACAGCAAGTATACTGGTACAAGGAAACAAGAGAGAAATTAAAAGAAAAATATATCGGACCATATGAAATTATAGAAATTCTGACAAATAATAAAGTAAAATTAAAATCTAAAAATATCAAACGAACTAGAGTGGCACACGTGAAAGAATTAAAACATCGTCTTTTTACAGGTGCTATGCCAGCACAGGACGATTCGAATTAATAAAATTAAAAGATTCTAATGGAGCGATTATACATCAATTAGGAATCGCATATAACAGCCATTCAGACGCGGAATTAGTATTAGAAATAGATTTAAGAGAAGTTATTAATACTATAAACACTAATTTTAATTTCATTAATTACAGGCCACGTTGATGATTCAGATGCAGAGCGGTATGATAAGTTGATAACAAAATAAGATAAAAATCAAAAAAATCTGGATCATAATTTAGATTATTTGGCAAAATTAGTAAATGAAACTAATATTCAAGTTCAAAATAATTTCGATTTGGTAATAAATAAAATCAAAAGATTAGATGATAAATTAGGGTTATTATGGCTTAATACAAATGTAAATGAAATTATTGAATGTTACAAAATGACAGCAAGAAATTTGAACGAACTTATAGACATATTAAATTATGCAAAAAGGGGAATTGTACACCCACTACTAATAACTTCTTCAAAATTAACTTGATACACTTGGATGATAACCATAAATTTTCTTTTGATTTACTACTAGAACAAGTTGAGATAATTGACAGAATAACGGAAGTAAAAGCATAGAAAAATCAATCATTTTACAGATACCTTTGATAAGTAACGAAATATTTCAGTATCACGAAATTCAGCCATTGCCAACTATTGTCAATGATATTTTAATTCAAATTGAAAATCATTGTAGGTTTATAGCATCAAACGAAACTAAATACATTGCTAGTAATACTATTTGTGATAAATTATTTGAAGAACAGTATTTGTGTAAACAACAGATTGAAAGTAAAAATTCACAAAGTTGCGAATATCAGTTAGTAGTCAGAAATATTGTAAATGAAAATTGTAAATTAATAAATTTAATGATAGTAGATTTTGAAATAAGTGAATAAGATTTTGGTACAGTAATTGTATTAATTAAGGAAATAGAAATGTCAGAAATTTGTAATAAAATGATAAAAATTCATAAATTTACTTATTTAATTAATCGGAAAAATTAATGTACACCCATACCTCGCTTTACGGCCTAGATACATTCCACGAAACTTGGCCGCAAAGTGAACAGCCGTATAAGGAATCAATTATTCTAATACATTGAAAAAAAGTTTTTTTTGCTGTTATAGCGAAACATTTTAGGCCGTAAATGGAAAACGTGCTTTAATTGAAGAGGGCTGTTATAGCGAAATGCCGTATAAAGAGCGGCCGTATAGCGAGGTATGGGTGTATTTTTAAGATAGGTGATATTATGATTCGTAATTTTTATACTGTTAGTATGGATACGCCATCAATATCAATACCAATTATAAATAAGAATGTATTAAATATAACATTTGATGAAAATAAATTAAAATTGGAAAATCTTACATTTGTTAACAATAATAATTTATATGATTAAAATTAAGTATGTAATCCATTTTACCAGTATTATCGTTAAGAAATGTTTGAAATTAAATGTGATAAGTCTGTACTTTTAACTGGTCATTTATTAAATTTTATTTATCTGACTAGTTTCGGTTCAAAAAACCATCTTCAGAGATAAACTACAAGAAATGAAATATATAATAATAAAATTCTGAACAATTTAAGTCTTACAAATTAATATTGAAATTGAAAATGCAAAAATGTATGAAAAGTACTTACAATCTTACAATAATTAACTTCAACCTCATAATTATTACTTATTAAAAACAATATTAAAGTCAATATATATACGCTAAACATATTTAACAAACTAGACAAACGTTCTGTAGAATTAAAAGTCGTGTAATGGCGACATGTAAAACAAGTTTCGAGGCAAGATTTCAACGTCGACGTAGAGGAGAATAAGAAACCGGTTAAACTCTTGTTAAATTTAAGTTCAAATGTTCAAAAATTATTATGCTAAGATAAAAATAGCAATATAAAGGATTTATAAAATTGGGAATTAAAATGGGATTTGAAATTATTAAAAAAAGGGGGAGAAGGTGTTAGGATGGGAAAGGTGTGGCCGCATTCACCCCAAAAAGTGCGAATAATATATGCGGCACAAATATATTACGATTAATATATTTATGCCGCATATTAATAAATATAATATAATAAAAATTTTAAAGTTAACAGAATCCAGGAGGATCCTCAATCTAGCCAGGGGGGAGTTACATTTGCCAATCCTGTAGGGTTGCAATAAAATAAGAAGTAGGAATTAGAGTTAAGCAGCTTCTATTTAATTAGATGCAGCATTACAATTAAGTTAAGTCTACTTTTAATCGCATACGTTAATTTTTCAATAAAATAAAAATAAGTTTCAAGTTTAAAAGTTGTTTTGATTTAATTTGATTTGAAATAAATTCTTTTTATAAAACCTTAACCGCTCGACACGATTTGAAACTAGTGCAGTTTTATTGCTAATTGATAATGCAGGTAGCCACAATAGAGAGTTTATTAATCATCCACACGTAAAAATTGTGTTTTTCCTAAAAATTATATATCATTGATTCAACCACTGGATCAAGGAATCATTTCAACACTTAAGGCGTACTACATACAATTAGCATTCCAAAATTTTTGAAAGACTGGAAAATGATAAAAATGTAACGCTTACTCAAGCTTTTTAGGTTGTGTTGCAATTATAGATTTGGCTTGCAGGGAATTAAAATAATCTACACTTCATGCGTGTTGGAAACTGTTCTTACCACAAATGGTTCAGAGACGAAACTTTATTCCATTTGAGGAAGCATGGATTTTTGGGAACTTCCAATTACACTGATGATTCCAAAAATATTTATAATATTGCATCGGTTGCTTATTTAAATTTAATTGATCTGCAAGAAGGAATAGCTTTAGTTAAAAAATTAGAAAATTCTTTTGTTGCTCCTTCGGTAGTACATAGCGGAAAAGTTAAAACAGAATTGCAAAGTTCTTTAGTTCTTTAGAAATTCTGAAAGAACTGCAAAATTGAAACAGGCGGGTAATAAATGACTTTTGTAATGGTGGAGAAATAACTAGAGAAGAGGGGTTTCAAGCAACTTAAAAAAAAAATAGATTAGCTGTAATTATTACAAATATATTTTTGTACATATATTCCAAATATTTTTTGTTATATTTTTAATTTTTATATTTCATCATAATGTTGTATTTCATAATTTTGTTTTTGGCTTAAATGGTACACATTTCGACTCGTCAGACTCGTGTCGACTTGATACCAAAAGTTGCCTCACTAACATTAGCTCATAAAAGATTATTACTTTATCTTGTTAAAATTAATCTATTACCTGTTAAACTGAAGAATTGTCTTCAAAAGTTAGACTACAGCAAAACCATAGTTGGTGTCATTATATTGTTAATCAAAATAACTTTCTTGAAGGTGGTTTGTTGTTTCAGTGCACAGTTAACTGATGCACAACTGAGAAAAAATCGGTACTATCTGTACTTTTAGAGGGTTGGCATCACCTAAAATACGCAAAAAAATATTAAATAAAAAAAGCATATCTTACATCTTGTACATATAAATGTTTGATTGTAATTAGAAGTAAATGTCCTCAATGTACCTATTTGTTATCTACCAGAAGGATAAATTTAGGATACACAATTTATGAATACATTGCAGTATATTATTATCATTTATAAACTATACAACTACAATTCATGCTGAGGATGCGTGACAAAGCTTTGATATCATGGGAACTGATAAATAAAATAACATTACAGATTATGCAATTTCATTGAAATTTTATCTCTGACTGTTTGTCTGTGATTATGATGCCAAGCTATTATTATGAATTGTAAGGAAGTTACATAGTTTAATGCCGAAAATCAAAAAGGTTCAAAAATATTATAGTCTGTAAAGTAGGGGATATAGGCGATAAAATTATTATAAATGGTTTATTGAAAAATCCCTGAAACGGGTGTAAAGATTTAAATTTTGTTTAGATATTTTTTCAAATAGAATAAAATTAATGATTTAAATGAATAAATAAAAAATTAAAATTAAGTTAAATGTTAAGTTTACCTTGGGCAAATCCTAAACGATTGATGAAGATATCAAAAATTATTCGCTAAACTTCTCATATTCTGATTTTTTGTTCATCCAAAGTATTTTTTGGTCCAATGGTGTAAAGTTTACTCTTCAGATATCCCTAAAGGAAGAAGTCTGGCGGAGTCAAATCTTGATTATTGAGAAATAATTGATTGAAATAAGCTCGAACAGGAACGGCATAGTGTGGTGGCACGCCATCTTGTCGGAGAAATCACTGCCGCTGGAATTGAATTTATTTATTTATATGAGATGCAAACAGGATTAATCCCAAAGTAGCATACACGAAAAATAACAAAAATAAACTTTAAAAAAAGGCTTATATAAACTATAAACGTATAAGAAGATATAACAAAATATACCAATTTATTAAGACCTGTCTGAAAACAACTTACTAATAAGCCGACGATTAATAATAAATTCTGCTTCTGTTGCTTCTAGTTTAATGTGAGCGTCATTTTAAAAATAATGAATTCATTAAATATTGTTATTCAAAATAATGAAACTTCATTTGATGAATAAACAGAAATTTTTTGAAATAGTCCTAATAATTTAATAAAATAATCTCTAATTGCAGTCTAACTTGGTTATAAACAGGTCTATTATAACCTGTTTGAAAGTAAATGACTCCTATCGAAACCTTGGATTAGCCGATTCAACGTTGTAGTTTAACACAAGCGTCTCAACACCATGTGGATGATATGAGTTATCTCAAAACTAATAGAAATAGAAGTCTACGTATTCGAAAAGATAAAATAATTGATAAATAATAATTGTCAGGCATAAATAATTTATAACGATTTCCGCCAGATGTCCGCCAGAGGCTGAACACACATCCGGTAAACAAATGTTAGAGTTTTGATAAGAAACGTGAAACACAAATGCGAAATAGAATTTAAAAAAATAGTACCAAAAATAATAAAATGTTGGATTTAGAAATTCATTATATAGAAATTTATATTGACAACAATTTTATTAGGTCTATTTGTAACCTAATCTATTTGTAAAATTAATTCTTTTTGAGATTTTTGTTCCCTTTATTTTTGTCGAATTTGCGTAATTTACCTATTACTAAAAGTATTTGCCTTTTTTTTATTGTGCATTATGGATACTAGGAACCTTTATGGGTTTTTGATTTATTGTTTTCTGAATCTTACCCCTTTATGTAAAGATGTTTTTACATCGTTTCATTTTTTGAATGACGCTTTGAATAGAGTGGAAGAAATTGACGATGAAAATTGCAAGGTGCGCGGGTTTACCACAACAAGTAGCTGATAAAGCAGAATTACATGAAAGTGATATCAGTGAGGAAGAATCCGCTGAAACAGAATCGTAGACAACATACAATTACAGTAGAGAAAAAATGAAGATGTAAGTATCCCTACAAATGTAGGAATTGAGCACGCTGAAGGGATTCTTTCTCGCATATCTTTACGCAACAAGATATAAAAAACACAATTTCAAGGTCTTTGAGAAAAATGTCTCCGTTTCTTGGATTGCTGTTGATCAGTGGCTATCACAGTTTCCCCAAAAAAAAATGATTATAGGTGAACAACAAAAGATATGAACTTTTTTACAAACACTTGAGCATCGATGAAACAATGGTTCCTTTTCATTCTACGAAGATGTTCATAAAAAACAAACCGTTTCAGTTTGGTTTCAAAATATGGATGCTGTGTGGGACCGATGGTTATCCATATAACATGGAAATATATTGTGGGATATCACTTGGACAACGTAAAGAACCGTTGGGAACACGAGTCGCTAAAAAAAATATTATTTGTTGTTGAAAAACTTGCTCAACACGTAACTTACATTTTAGTAGTACTTTATTAATTTTTGCCAACTTTTTCTCCGGTCACGCACTATTTCGTCACTTGTCAGAGGTAAGCATTCGAGCTTGTGGACGTGTACGTGAAAACGGAACAAATAAGTGTCCTTTGACACATTCCAAAGCGTTAAAAATATGAAAGAGGATCTTACGATTACAAATCTGACGGAACGGTAACATATGTCAAATAGAATAACAATGCAATAGTAACATATCTTCAGAGGGTTTCTAAAAAGGGTAAAAGCAGAAAACAAAACAGACTTGATACAAATTTGATAAAGAGATACAACGAAGGAATTGGTGGAGTTGATTTCTTAAATCGTCTTTGTATCACCTACCGATCAAAATTGAGACAAAAAAAATAATTTACTTTATATTATACAAGGTGTCCTGAACCAAAAAGAACAAAACCGGCTATCTGATAACTCCTTAGATGATTTTTAGGATGAAAGTTTATATAAATTTGTTTTCTAAAATCATTACCTAGAATGTTACAACTTGATTTGAAACGTCTTTTGGTACACAAATGACCGTGACGCATTTTCTGACACACTGAAAGGTGTCTCTTTCTTTTTCGAAAAACCATATTTTGAGCCTTTACCTTTATATACGAAAAATTTGTACAATTTATTTGCCTAAATTTGTACAAAAAAACAATATACAGGTTTCCCAAGCATAAATTCTATAAATCCATTAAAAACAGTTTTTGGAAAAATCGTTGAGACGGGCCTAAAGATTGAAATTTTTTGGTGTAGATTTTAAATTTTTAAACGAGTTATGACGTTGTTATCGATGTTTTTTCAAATACAAATGCAATTTTTTATTAGGGCATTCGAAAAAGGACTATTTTCTGAATTTAATAGTCAAAATTAATATTAGTTACATGAGAAAATTTTCGAGAAAAATTGCTTTAAAGTTTCATTATGTCCCATTCACTTGAGGTAGAAAAATAGCAGTAGCCATGCGTAACCATAGCAGCCACTTGTTTGCTTCCAATTTTCCAAATATCAAAATTCGATTTCTTCAATGTATCGACAAATAAGAAAGTAACAAAGAGACTTACTGAACTGAAAGAATTGAAATTCTAATGATGATTGGTTTCGGAGATAGAGTTCGAACACACAACGAAGTCCAACCGAATTAAGAGTAAATTTCGCGAACTTGGACATGTACGAGGCTAAGGCCGAACGTCCATCGTCCTTAAATGAAGATCAGCAATTGAATGCTCTGCTAAAACTTGCTGGAAAGCTGGAACTTTGCGATGGCGACAACGGAAATTCTGCATTAATTAAAAACATTATCTTTTCTGATGAAGCAACGTTTTGCTTAAATGGTACCGTCAATAAGCAAAACTGCCGTTATTGGGCAGTTGAAAATCCCTGCCGGCTGGAATAATTGATTATCAAATTATTGGACCGTATTATTTTATTGGAACGCTGAATGGTGAACGGTATTTCAACTTTCTTCAGTTAGAAGTACTCTTTAGTAACTTATTATTAGAAAGAAATATTGAAAGTACAAATAAGCTAGAAACGTGCCCTATTATGAACTAAAGATATTCCCCAAATTTCATTTTCCTGGTGTTTATAACTCTCGAGAAAAAAATTAATCCAAAATTTTCAGCCATTTTTGAAGGGGCGTAGAAATAAGCCATACGAGGAGAGAAGGGTTCGTGACAGTCGGAAAAGATGGATCTGATGTGTGTTTAAGACTAGACTATTCCTTTATGTAGATAAAATAAAGGTGCGACGTCCAGTCTGGAACATACACCAGCGAGATTAGATGGAACTCCCCATATGGTTTATTTCTGTTTCTTTTTAATCTATAATTCTTTTCAATCGCTGTAATAATATTTAGAGATATAACTTTGAAAAACTAATAACGGAATGACCTGTTCAAAATTGAAATTTTTTCAAAATAGGGTACTTTTTTCATTTAATTTGCGATAAAAAGAAAACCGCGGCGCCGAAAATAGAAATGTTCAGTGATCACAACAAACTTCACCACAATTTTTTTTAGAGTGGTTGCGAAGATATCGATATCTACAATGAGGGGCCATGACTTTTGACATGGATAGTTGCAAGTGTAAAGTCCAAGAAGTAAGATATTTTTAATTTAATCAGATTGGCTGTGAAAAAAACACTATTAAAAAGATGAGCCTTCACAGAAATGCTAAGAAAATGCTTATTGGCATTGTTGGTGATGTCACATCGAAATTTTTAATTGTGTTAAATTTTACACTTTTTCGCCCTTTTTTTTATTGTAACGACTTATTTAAGTCGTTTCCCGTCGATTAAAAATTTTTTTTTTTTAAATTCTTACCTCATCCCTGTCGACATCTTCTTTTTTTTAATCATCTTCGAATGCAGAATTGAAAACTTGCCTCTTTTTTGTGTTTATTCGATGACAATTGATGCAATATTCAGACATTTCTACGTTGTTTTTGAAGAAACTGTTAACACCACAAAAGAACTTTCTCGGAGCCCAACTCGTTTTGGAATGAAAAGGATAGAAAGCAGAATGGCAACCATGGCTTGAGTTACTTAACCATGAGTTAATGCGTTACTGAATACCGTTATTACCGGTAGAATATAGTTTGGTTTCTCGGTAATAGCTGGCACGGTTTAAATTATTCTAATTTATAGATACAATTTATTTTTGTTAGTTTTTAATTTATTTGTTAAAAGCAGCATTTAATTACATAGATAATTTTATTTGAAGTATAATATAGTTAAATGGGCATTTTTATATGTGCCCTTAGAGATTAGTTTTTACTCAAGATACAACTTCATGGTAAATTATTATGGTAAAGTGAATACATAGAATTGAAGTACACACATTTTTCTACGCATTGAAGTATTCGGGTGGTAAAATTGCTGTATTTGTAACATAAAAAAATCCTAAAATTTGTCATAATAAGCGACTTTTACGATAAATTAAACATTAAATTGAGACTCCAACGCTTCAAGGATACTCGTGGAATGTAGGAAGTGATTACGTAAAACTAACATAAAATTGAATTGTTATTATCTCAAAATTTGTGTAATGGCAAATGTGCGATTTCGTCGAAATATTGGGAATTCGCAAAGAAATCTGTATATATCAGTAAAACAAAGCTTTGTCATCCGCCTCATAGATGGCGCTAAATATTAAATTTTGAGTAAATGTTATCCATTTTTATCACTTATTAATATTTAAATAAATAGAAACAATTGTACTTAGTGATAATATTATTTATGCGATCTTTACCGGTTTCGGCTCACATTAAAGAGCCATCCTCAGAAGATATCTCCTTAAAATATTTCAATAAAATTAACAATCAGCAGAGTGGAGGTTGTGGTTTTACTTACGTCAGTATGGAAAATAATTAAATGGTAATTGATAAAATCTTGATAAAATTTGCATATGTTAGCAGATTAAAATTTCTTGTGTAATAAACGTCACAGAAATTACGATCACAGTTAAAACACACCACAAAATCGACAATAACAACGTGTTTGTCAAAAACAAGTTAAAAAATCAAAGTCTATACAGAAATCTGTAACATTGTAAACACATTGTATACAAGTCAGATCAAAGATAAAAACAAGAAACCGATAATTTATGTATTAGTATATGTTGAAATTGGAAAACCAAAAACGGTATAGTAAAATACGCTTCGGGAGAAATTATGGGTAGGGACTAAATCGATTTTTTAAAGTTTCGTATAGGTGTGGAAAAATTGGAGTAGTTTGTTCATTTAGAATAAGTCTGTTAGGGTTATTCTTTATGAATTTCTGAATTTCGTACATTTCTGCTATCTCCATTTTATAA